CGCTTATCCTCCTATAGCTCTCATGCTTCAGTTTCTCTGGCCCTTCCTTTTCATTCAGTTATCTGCCTCCTCTCAGTTCAGATATTTCTTTCTGAGTATAAACATGACAGCTTTTTCTCTTTTTTTTTTGGCAGCACCATCAGTCCATTTGTTCTACTACTGTAATCCACTGTGAAATATCTCTATTTTGAGTCAGTCTGACAGTTTTTTTCTTCTCTGCCCTCTCTTGAGCTTTGAGTACTAATTAATTGGGAATATTGGATCTTTACATTTTATAGTTTCTCATTTTAGCTAGTTTGTCCGTACTAATCGGTTATTCTTTTCAATGTCTTGGTGAGCTCAGATTTTCACTGGCGTAAGTGGATATTCCAACTGTAGTTCACTACCATCTGTCAATTCACTCTTCACCAATGTCCTCTTTTCCTTCATCAGCCGAGCTTGCATTCTACTTCACAAGGGAAATAGAAGCTCTATTTTGGAAGCTCCAATTCCCACAGGATAAAAATCCATGTTACTTATTATATCTTATCAATTTATATGTGATTTGTCTAATTTAGGCTTTTTAAGTTTGAAAACTGCCAATTCCTCAGATATGCTGTGTCCCTCATCCTGAAGTTTACTAAAATCAATTGGCTACAACACTGTATGTGTGGGAGGTAGGAAATACCAAGGCATGGTTGTTAATGCGGTGGCCCCAGAGCATGGGCCCTAAGACCTGGCCTATAATAACACATCTGGTGCAGGTGTGGATGGCCAGAGGATTACTCTGGTTTGCAAAAGTTTATGGAGATTATTTCTGTTTACATTTCTCATTTATTCAGTTTTTTAGATTCCACATATAAGTGAGATCATATGGTATTTGTCTTTCTCTGACTGACTTATTTCACTTAGCATAATGTTCTCTAGGTCCACCCATATCATTGCAAATGGTACTATTTCCTTCTTCTTTATAGCTGAGTAATACTCCATTGTGTAAATGTACCACAGTTTCTTAATCCAGTCGTCTACCAATGGGCATTTCAGATATAGTCGTTATAATGATAGTATAAAAAAATATGTAATGACAGTGGTAAATATTCATGATGTACAAAAGACGTTAATAAACAGTATATATGAAAAAAAAGTTTATGGAAACCTTTAATTTAGAGCATTGTGAAGAGGCCTACTAATTTTGGGGTCTGAATCTCACAAAGATTTTTTTTGGAGAAATTAGACAAATCCTGAGAAAAGCCAGATTTTTAAATTCCATAGCACAGTACAGTGCAACTGAACCCTTAAGACTTCCCCAAAACACATGGATGTTCTGAGAGTTTGTTTGGATTTAAGATTTCATCTGGCAGCCCAGCAGCTTCTCTCTTTTATTCCTACTTGACTCTAACTCCTAATAAATGTGAAGAAGAAAGTTTATAGCATAAAGAACTGTTGAGGTCATGAGAAGATATAGATGGATAATTATCTTCGAAGGAAGGAGAATGTTCAAGGATCTATACATTTTTTTCTGAGAGTTAGGACTACGGGTTGCCTGCATAACGACTCTTCAATCCCTGTGTATATCTCTGTTGTGAATGGCAAAGCTCAGAGATAAGTAGTTTAGATGTAAGATGTGAATAATTAGGTCCTATGATCCAAAAATAGGCTGCAAACTTCAGATTACTCCAAGGAAGATGTACACATGGTCTGGTAGATGTATCCTTCATTATTTATGAGGTTTTCATTCTCAGCCTCTTTTGCAAATCTTTGATGACTGTATATTCTGTTTGTCTAGGATGAAGACAGATTAGGATCTAAAACCAAAGAAGTCCAATGGCTCTCTGGGCCCTTTCCTTTCTAACTCAGCCTCAGAGTCTGATTTCTACATTTCGCCATTCTGGGAACATACATCCTAATTAGAGGAAGCACATGCCAGAAAACTAGAGAAAAAGATTTTGCCCCAATGAAGGTGATAGCTGGTCTAGTTCATCCATGACAGACCTTGCCAGGCTGAGGGGACGGCCCCTGAGCCTTACGGTGCCAAAGAACAAGCTGAAGTGGGAACAGAAGCTTCTAAGGGGCGCTCAGTCTCACCCATCTTGTTTCTTTCACCTTCTTTGAAGGCAGCGAATCTCAAAAGATCACCCTTCAAACGGCTCAGACCTTGACTCCAGTTTCCTACACACTTGCAAACTCGCTATAAGACAACAGACTATGCAGTTTCTTTGCCTTTGATCATAGAGCCTGACCTACTCTTAGCAGGGAAATGCAAGGCTTTCTGAATACCATCATGCAAATTCTTCCTACTATTGGCTAATTCATGACCAGGACTGATTTAGAACTTTTTGAAAGATAGGGTATTTTTCTAATAGTTTGGCACTTTGGCCAGTGCGTAGAATGATCAGAGCCTCATAGGATTCAGTCATTTCCTATTTCCTTATCTTATTCTCGAAATAGTGGTTTGCTCCTTAAGAAAAACGGTCCAGGATACTTGCCATTTTTTTAGGCTTAATTTCAAGCTAGATTGTTACACTGAAATAAAATCCTAATAATAATGCACTTCCTGTTGTGTAATGTAACCGTTTTTGTAACAAAAAGTTCAGTGTTTTATTTTAGAGGTGAAATATTTCTTTACTATTGGGAAGAGCACTGCTTTACAAATTGTGTTGAAGTTTCTTACCTGTATGGAAAGGATTGTCTGAATATGAAATTATAATAACATTTATGATTTGATGTCCACATCTCCATGGGAATAAAGAAAAGCTGGGTTTAGACTACCTGGAACTACTTTCTCCTGAAGTGCTAAAGTTGTGTATCTGAATTCTTTTAGCATTTTGCAAAGATGGCTGTAGGAACGGAGGCGCTTGTATTGCCGCTAACGTGTGTGCCTGCCCTCAAGGCTTCACGGGACCCAGCTGTGAAACTGGTAAGAATATCATTCCATTTTTTAGAAAATTAATTTTTACACCAATATATAAAGTAATCCATGAGGAAAATAATGTTTCAGGTTCCAAGTGGGCTCTCAAAGCATGGAGCAGTTAATAAGGAAGTGCTAGGAGGGAGGATAAGGAGGTTTCAGTGCTGCGTATTCACTGGGTGTTTCCCCAGAGTCACTCTAAGGAGGGTTTGCAGCTGCTATAACTAGATGCCTATTAACATTTTCAGAAAAATGTGTGGGATTGCCAAGGATTTTATGCTTCATAATTTATTTTACTCATTTGCAGTCCATTTTTCCTGGAATCTGTATGACACTTTCAAGGCATAGACTTCAAGCTTATGGCCAACTGACTTCCTAGGACACACTACCTCCTGCATCCACATTTGAGAATTTTAAATACATTTTTACCTGGCCCATTTAATATTCACTTATTGTCGTTTATTTACAAAGTATTTAAAGTTTTCTACTCTTTAATTATTCCTCGTTCGAGTGCATTCTAAACTTACTGTTTCTCATGGCTACTAATACTAGAAACTTAAAAAAATATATATATATGTATATATATATAATATTATATACAATTTAAAATAAAATATATATAATATAAATATAAATACATATATTATATATATATTATATATTATATATAATATATATGATATATATATTATATATAATATATAATATGTATATATATATAATGTGTGGTCTGTATATAGCTTTTGACCAAAATTAAGTTGTTTTTTCAGTTGAAAATAGACATTAAGAATAAAAAAGTGTTTTTAGAATTAGGATCTAATTAAAATCATGTCAGTAGTAGTTTGGCTCCTTTGGGTCAAGTGGGTTCTAACAGCAGATGACCTCAAAAGTCTGGTTATAATCCCTAAGAGAAAGCTGCTGCCACCATCGATTGGTGGTTGCTATGTCACAGTGCTGTCCATAAATTTCAATGCAGTAGATGAACAGTATGTCCTGCCTCGATCCCACTTGCAAAGTCATCTGGTTTAATAAAAACACTGATTGATCAGAATGTGAGACAGAAAATGTTCTGCTCTACTTGGGAAGTGGAAATTTTACTGAATAGATACTGCAACGGTTCACAGAAGGATGCTCACAAAAGGGGTGCATCACTAGATCATTTCATCCTACAAGTACCCTAAGTGCTGCTTTTCAAACTTCAATGACTAATAGTTTACAAATGTCTCTAATAGAAAACACATAGTGGCCATCTTTGATATGTGGGACTCTTTTTTCAGGGGATCTTTTCCTAAATTTGGAGTTCCCTAGCTCATTGTGTATGTTAATCAGCCATAGAGCTTGTTAACTTGTTAAAAATACAGATTTCCAGTAATTCACTATCATAGGATTTACCAGGTCAAAATCAGGTCGTTCGGATGCAATAGTTTTACAAAGTTTCTGTCCTGTCACCTCCACCAGTACACCCACACATATCGAGGTACACTGTGATCCTGTATCTCAAGGCCTCTGGTGACCACGTTTCCTGAATATGGTATTTTGTACTGCTTCTAGTGCAGAGTCGATACTGAAATGCTGGCTTTTTTATGGCATTTCAATTATGTGGAGTTATGAAATAAAGGCTGTCCCAGAAAATCGGTGATGAATAATGACCATGCTCAATCATCCATATCATTTTTCTGCTGGACAAAAAAAAAAAACACGATGTGGTGAGATTGTGGAAATCTGGAATGATGTAAAATTAATCCGAGCAATGTAAAATTTAATACCAGAGTTAAAAATAACCCAACAGAATATTTAGCTTTCTCTATTTAATTACTCCTGAACTCCCAGTCTATAAAAAGATGATCCCAGACTTTAAGTAGCTGTCTGTCACAGCCAAGGGTTTTGAAAAGGACAGATGTGGGGTCAAAATCTAGTTCCCATTTACTTGCTATGTGGCCTTGGGCAAGTTATGTAACTTCTCAGTGTCTTATACTCTCCATACATCAACTTATGCTTCACAGGTCTCCTCCAAGATTGGTATTATCTCCATTTTACAAATGAGTATATTGGGTTCAGAGCAATTAATTTCTTTTCTAAGTTCACAGAGTTTGCTCCTGAATACAGAGGTCTTTCTACCCCTAAACCCAGGCTTTTTATTTATTTTATTTATATCAGTGCTTTTTAAAGTTTCTATTGAAGTCACTCTAATGACAGAGAAGAGACTATCCAGGGAGATCCTACAATGACCCAAAACAAGGGTAAATAAAATTCCTTCAAATTTGAATTTCTTGTTTTATCCTAAAAATTCACTTATTTCTATTTCATAATGTATGAAAATACTTAAATTACATACATTGAGTAAAGTTAGTGCTGCAAGACAAGGGGTCATAGTTTATGTCTGCTTTCTAGGATCTCTTGGCCCAAGACCACATTTCACTATTTGAGAAGCAAGCATTCCTGCCTCCTAGCTGGGAAAATGTCATACTGCTACTTGCCTCTTAGCATCTGTCCCAGTAATTGTTCCAGGTTAGATCCTACCCCCTCACCTCCCAACAGCATCACTTTTGTTGATGCAGTTATAAATAGAAGTACCCTTTTAAAAAATAACTTTAGATGAGAAGAGACCCATGGGAAATAAAATACCCAGCATGTTTTCTTGGCCAGTAATCAAGGAATCATCTCTCTCTTATCCCATTTCATATCCAGGCAAGTCCTTTTGTTTCTCTTTACTAGGGTCCATTTCTTTCCATTCGAGCTGGAACTACAGTAGTTCCTGGCTCTCAGGTGTATCTCTTTCCAATCCACTCTCCACAGCATTTCAGAGCACGAGTCTTATCATATCATACATACTGAAAAAAAACAACAAAAAACTTCAGCATCTCCCATTGTCCTCAAGATAAAGGTCACATGTCTTAACATGACACATAAGGCCCTTCAAGATTTGGACTGCTTATCTACCCAGCTTTCATCCTTTCGACCCTCTGTCTCCTCAGCTCCTTCCCACCCTCCCAGGCATTGAGTTTTATGGGAAGTAAAGGGCATATCTTGTTACTTAATAATCTTCAAGACACAGTATAAGGCCTCACCTTATTAGGCAGTCCACAAATACTTGGTGAATAAACAAAGGCGTAAGTGACTGATTAAATGAGGAGGTTGTGGTTGCTTGTTGCTTACGTATTTGCCAGACTTCTTTGAATATTAGTTTAAAGAGGGCTTCAGGGTCATCTGATCCTGTAGTCTCATGGCAGATAAAGTAATTAAAGCAGAGAGGTGAAGTAGTTTATGTAAGATGTTTCATTGTAGATACAGATCTGCAAATTAGAACTCAGATCTTCTGATTCCCAGTCCAAGGTTTTCTTTGCCCTCCCTCCCCTCCCTCCCTCCCTCCCTTTCTCCCTCCCTCCCTTCCTCCCTTCCTCCCTCTCTTCCTCCCTCCCTCTTTCCTTCCTGCCTTCCTTCCTTCCTTTTCTTCTATGCCATGCTATATACTCAGGAATTCATTCTGTCACCTCTCATGAGGTCTGTGCTTTTGTGATGCCCACCCCTTCAACTGCCAAATAATCCTGTTGTCTTTAACAGTGAAGACTGTGGCAGTTTTTCTCGCCTCAGGTAGGGAAAGCATCAGGATCCTCAAGATCCTAAGCATTGGAGTGGCCTAAATCTGGCCTACTGGAGTTGGATGCTGCCTAATTGCTTAGAAAGGAGATTAATTCATGTCCCAGTGATGATCTGTTGGGATCGCAATGGAAATGCTCAGGAAGTACTAGGATTTACTGATTTTTGAAAACAATCTTAATGTGCATGATATTTACCAACCCTTGTTACTTTAGTTGAGAAAGTCTCCCCTGAACCCCTCTGTCCCTAATTTATTTTGTCTATTTCTGCATCACATGTATATTAGTGGAATGGTTGAATCCATTTACCAACTTTACCAAGGGTCTATGTGTATGCTTTTTACAGATTAAAATTAATTTTTCATGACCATTTTTAGCCACTGTGTAAAATCACCCATATGTACAGCATAACTTCATTTTTAATTAAACATCCTAATATTCCATCAGGTGGTTAACTTGGATCTAGCAGAGTGATTATTTCTTGGCTAACTCAATAAAATATATTAGAAATCTATGTGCTGAGGTTTAACAGCTCTATCACTGCCACACTGTATTTATTGCACAGTTGCTAAACCTCAGTGAACATGTGTCTGATGTTCTAATTAATATGCAAAGCTGTCTCATTATACTAAAAGTAAATCTTTCAGTCATGATTTAAAGCATAACTCCAAAAGATTTGACAGTTCCCTATAAGTAACTGCTGATTTAAATCAAATTAAATGTTTGTAACTGGGAAAACGTTGGTATCAAATAGAAGCTAAAAAAAATATGCTGTAATATCAAAGAAAAGGAGATCACACATTTTGGTGATAAATGGTTATTTTTTTCCCTCAGTGTGTAAAATAATGGGTTTCTTAGCTACAGATCAAAACATGAAATGAGATTATAATTATTTTTAGTGAGTAGTTAAATGAATATAAATTTAAGGTGCATTCCTAAGTGTTTTGTAGCTTTTTAATATCTGTAGTTTCAAAATGATGAAACAGAACATGCAGCATATATATATGAATGTTGCTTTACCTCAAAGGTAACTTCAAATTAATTTAGGTTGATTGACTTAAAAAAGTACATTACTATTTTAGTAGAGGTGGTAAAAATCTTTTAATTCATTCATAGTAATAAAGTTATTTTGCTAGTAGTATACACAGTTAGTGTTTATTATTGTCAAAATGTATTAAATTTCTTAATATAGTTATATTAGAACATTTTTCATCATTTCAAGGAATATATTGATTTAATTTCATGATTACATAGCTCTTTTAAAAGGCATATTTTTCAGAAGTGTATATTATTTTATATTGTTTTATAGGGAAGACTGAAAAAATTCAGAAGCAAGAGAAAATTCTCAGAACATTTTTGACATACCATACCTTTTTATTTTTCCCCCAAATTGACTCAGTAAAATTCCATTAC